CAACTTTTAACCAACTCCACAGCGGGCTCCATCCAGGAAACACACAGCCAGACAGACGAGGTCCCAGCCAGCCCCCACATCAGAGCACACCCTGCCAGTCACTGTCAGAGAAACAGGACTACACTGAAAAACAGGCCGAGCTCAATCATCTGTAAACAAAGGTGTTGAAGCTGATATTTATCTTCCGGATTGTGTCCCAATGAAACAGGTGCATACTAGATTAAGCTACTATAAGAAAAAGCAGAGAGAGCAGAATGTTAAAGATTGAACAGATTTTGCTGTGGGAAAATAGAGACAGAATTAAGCAGAATGATGAAAAAAGGGTCCCTATGTCCTCCAGCAGTCTAAGCCTATAGCAGCATAACTATAAAGATAGCTCAGGATAACCTGAGCCACTCTAACTATAAGCTTTTTCAAAAAGGAAAGTTTTAAGCCTAGCCTTAGAGTAGACGGGGTGTCTGCCTCACAGACTAAAACTGTAAGTTGGTTTTACAGGAGAGGAGCCTGATAACTAAAAGATCTGCCTCCCATTTTACTAGAAGTTCTAGGAACCACTAGTAAACCTACAGATTGAGAGCAAAGTAGGTAGGTCATGGTAAAAGGAACAGCTCCTTTAGGGTCTACCTTATGTGTCATAGATCAGAAAAAGTTTATTGAATCTGTCAAGGCATGTTTTCGGTTCTGGGAATGATGGCAGTGCATCTGCTGATTAGCAAGTAATTCAAGTAAAAACATTTGAAAACCACCAATGCGTCCAAAGCTTGAGTCACATTTTAGGAGGTCATAAACATAATCAAAGAGTATGGTTGTGAAGAGTGTGGAGGCCTTGCCATGTCATCATACTGTTATCATTTGATCTATTCTCCCTTAGAGAAAAAGGTTTTTAGTTGATGTTCTAAAGAAATGCAAATATATTTCTATTAAAGTTTGTTTTTCTCCTCTTATGGCTTTGTTAAAAGGTTTAAGGAGGATCAATACGTGGCTGCAGAGGGCGTAACAAGTGAGGAGGGTGGCAGAAGAGGCAAGTTAACATCTTTCCACACACAGGCTGCTGCCTTTGTTCTGACCCTCAGTCTACTTCCATCCGTTTGCTCTACAGCTTCATGTCCTCACATACACACTTCATAACAACTTGACACAACAGAAAACATCATGTCCTTCCTCCGGCTAATTAAGCTGTTTATATAAACCACTGGTGTATTTCCCCAGAGTCCAAATTAGCCTCTGCATTAAGCTTCAGTCGTTTTATAATCAGGGGCTTTTATAAATCTGTCCTCTGTGCCTGATGAAGAGTGACATCCATCATTTAAACTGCTTCAAAAACATCTTCTCCTTTTCATTAAATTCATTAAAGTCATGGTAAAAAGGAGATAAACTCTTAATTCAACAGTTTTCACTCAAAATATGATGAGGATTTTTTAAAACATTTTATCTAAAGTGCACAAAAACACAGGAGATTCTATATGATAATGGAAATGCTACGTGTATCCCATTAATCAACAGCCTGCAGAAGACTGTTTAGTCATTTCTGTAAAGCAATTTGTTTCTGCTTTCAAGCATTCTCTCCTTACTTCTTTCTTGGAAGAGATCAACCGAAACACTTTAAATAACACTTTCCAATGTATCTGTATTAAATGACTATAAAACATGATGGCAGGTTGAACAGAATCAAATTTTACTCTGACAGAGAAATGACTCAGAATACAATGGCAGCGCTTGCCATCCGGCTTTCATCATTCAAAGAGCCCCTAATAACAGTTTAAAGAAGCTTTTTATATCTGCTGTCACACATGTTGCATCATTACATCATACATGTCGTTAGTAAATGAGGAGACATCACTGGATCCTTGGCCTGATAAACCAGACTAAATGTGAGATTAAATGTGTCATTTAGTTTGGCCCCGATGAATGAGACATCGGAAGATTGTTGATGAGAACAACCCGTTGTTTTTCAAACCATGACTGTGCCTATTGGCCAACGCACTGACCAATGAGCGCAACTGACTGTGACGTAGGACACGTGACAGAAAGCTGTTGGGGCAGTGTAAACAAACAGCCTGTCAGTAAAACAGCGAATGTGTCCTTCTTAAAAATGAATGAGCGTAGAGCAGCGGTCACCAACCTTTTTACAGTTGAGGGCTAATTCAGGGGCACTGAGTCACAGGAAGGGCTACCAATACTGACCTATGAATTGCAAGGGTCAACGTTCACCTAAACTTCATACATCATAAACATACCTTTATCGTTTCTTTAAATTTATAATTTCCTTTTAGAC